TCTTATTTTTACTTTTTGATTTGAAAGGAAGATGTTAGCATACATAGGTTTATACTTTAGTTTCAAAAACTAGCAAGGAAATTGAGCAAGTATCATTACTTAGATTGTGTATATGTAACTATGAACGCTCTTGTAAAGGCAAAAATGACATCACAATGCTGAATTTTTAAAATAAAATAAATACACAGCTATAGCCAAGCAATGTCAGAAAAAAATCAGACTTAGAGTCAATTAACTAAGAAACGTATCAATTTGACTGGGTACTTTTGGGTAGATGTAGTCAGAGAATTAGAGAGTAAAGAGACTATTCTACATAAGTGAATGTGTAGAATTCGTAGAATATGTGTGGTACACATATGCAGGCCCAGCATCCTTTCTTCTTCCCCGTGTAATAGAAAAGCAGACCACAGAGGGCCCCAGAAGCACAGAGAAAGTATGCACCAAGGAGTCGGTGCTTGGAGGGCAGACAGGTTGACTAGATCCCAGTGTTCCCAGTTCTCAGCCCTCTGGGGTTCTAGGGGTTGCAATCACCACTCTAAATGCTTTCCATTACTTCCGCTGGCTAAGGAGGTTATTTTACTTCCCACTCCTGATCGCTCCGTGTAACCCTCCTCCCAGTCCTGTTCACTCAGGGCCTTCTCAACATGCTAGAAAAATGTGTTTAAGGCCGGGCACAGTTGCTCACACCTGTAATCCCAGCACTTTGGGAGGCTGAGGCGGGCGGATCACCTGCGGTCAGGAGGTCAAGACCACCAGCCTGGCCAACATGGCAAAACCCCCTCTCTACTAAAAACACAAAAATTAGCTAGGTGTGGTGGTGGGCGCCTGTAATCCCAGCTACTCGGGAGGCTGAAGCAGGAGAATCGCTTGAACCTGGGAGGTGTAGGTTGCAGTGAGCCGAGATCATGCCACTGCACTCCAGCTGGGGCAACAGAGTGAGACTCCGTCTCAAAAAAAAAAAAAGTTTATTAAATTGATAAACCAGTCACCTGATTTGGAGGAGGGGGACCTGGGGGTATATTAGCCTGTTCTCACACTGCTATAAATATCTGAAACCGGGAAATTTATGAAGAAAAGAGGTTTAGTTGGCTCACAGTTCCGCAGGCTGTGCAGGAAGCATGGCAGCATCTGCTTCCAGGAGGCCTCAGGGAGCTTTTACTCATGGCAGAAGGCAAAGCAGGAACTGCTGCCTTACATGGCGAAAGCAGGGGCAAGAGAAAGTTGGGGGGCCACCCACTTTTAAACATCCAGATTTCACAACTCATCCAAGGGAAATGGTGTTAAACCATGAGAAACTGCCCCCATGATCCAATCAACCCCCACCAGGCCCACCTTCAACACTGGGGATTATAATTGAGCATGAGATTTGGGTAGGGACACAAAGCCAAACCATATCAGGGAGTTACTGAGCTGATTAGTTCTTAGAATAAATTACCCAGTCTTCTGGATATGTAGACAGAGTTCTGGAGGGTTATAGCTTAGAAAAGGCTAGAGGCTCATGTTGGGGACTTTCTCTTTTAGTTTTCTCTTTTTCAAGAGACAGGGTCTCACTCTGTCACTCAGGCTGGAGTGCAGTGGTGTGGTCCTGGCTCACTGCAGAGTTGAAATCCTGGGCTCAAGTCCCTCCCAAGTGGCTGGGACTATAGGTCTGCACCACCATATCTGGCTAATTTATATTTTTTTGTAGAGACCAGGTCTTGCTTTGTTGCCCAGCTGGTCTCAAACTTCTGGTCTCAAGCAATCCTCCCACCTCAGTCCCCAAAGTGTTGGGATTACAGGCGGGAGCCACTGTGCTCTACCAGGGTTGGTGTTCAAACTTTTACAGAGAAGAAAAGAATTTCACTGGTAATTGTCAGAGCAGTCCTTAAGGATGTGTCAGAAAGAAAAAAAATTATGATTTGAGATAGAAAAAAAGCCCAATGTATATAACAGAGAAATGCACAGTAATAGGGAAGTGATGAGGAGAGCAGACCCAAGACACCCATTTCCAGACGGCATGGATGCACCATATTGTTTAGGTAAAGAAAGGTACATAAAACATGAAATCTTTTTTTTAAAGCTTCTAGTCTACGTAAGTTTATAGAAAGTTCCTCACATTTTTAGTGACGATACCATTTTGCGAGGTGGCTTATGGAGTACGAGACAAAGCATAATGCAAAGGTGTCACTGTGATGTCACGGGGAATCAAAACCACAGGGGGTTCAATGGGACTAGGCCTGGACATGCCAAGTTATCAGGTCACGAAATCCATCATGTTTACAGACTTAGTCTTCTGCTCAATTTTTCTCTATCCCCAAAATTTTACTAATTTAGCACTTGGAATTAAACTTTATTGGCCAATTATTATTGTTATATCAGTATACTACGTTACATTTCACACAACATTTTCAGGTCCATCAATTTTGCTCTCCAGATAGTCAATCATTTATTTATTCAAAAAATACAGATTGATAACAAACCAGCATTGGAGGTGCTTGAGAAACACTGAACGTATCATTGTCAAGAGACAAAGATACCACCGCTTGGGGTGTTTACATTTAGCACAAAAGGCAAAACATAAATAAATAAATAAAACAAGCCTAATAAATAAGAGAACAATATAGTACACTAGATGACACGTACTCTATGGGGAACAAAGAGCCTCCACTGAGCCCAGCAAGGGCAACTGGAAAGGTGAGCTCCGGACGGGCTCTGGGGTGAGTAGGGTTATATGGCATCACTGAGAGGCTGGATCTCAGAAGACTCAAAGGAAGAAAGGGAATAATGAGTCAAGGGACATCAGGGAAAAGGGAATTTCAAGCAGAAGCCACAGCGGGGGAAACGGCCCTATGATGGGAAGCGCCGGCTTTGGTGGAAACCCAGCCATGAGGCCAGGGCAGCTGGAGCAGAATGCAATGGGAAGTGGGGGAGGAAGAGAGAATCAGAGGAGGGATGGGGGTTCAGAACCTCTAGGGCCTGGGGGTTCACTGTGAGGATTCTGACTTTCACTTGTCATTGTGATGGTATCACCATCTAAGTCACTGTGATGCCAACATATCCTTGGGTGCTAAAAGGATCAGCCCAGCTGCTGTAGAGAGAATGGGAGCGGAAGGGCCTAGAGCCCAAGCAGGACCACTGTGAGGAAACGAAAGTCATAATCCAGAGTGGCAGGATGGAGTTCCGACCACAGTTACAGCAGCAGGGTGGCCAGGACAACTGAACGCCAGACATATTCTGAAGGTAGGACCAACAGGGCTTGCTGATGGACTGGATGTGGGCTGCAGAAGTCAAGAAAGCACTCAGTTGGACGCCTGGCCTAAGCAATCAGAAGAATGGGGCTGCCACCCAGTGACAGGGAGCAGCCTGTGGTTTTTGTGGTTGCAGTTAGGAAGAGACTTTGTGGTTAAGTTTTAGGCAAATTGAGTTTAAAATGTCTATTCTGATGTCAAGTAGACAGCTGAATATAAAAGACGCATTCAGAGGAAAGGAGAGGGAAAGTCAGGAAACGGGTATGGATGTAGAGGATTTTGCTGGTAATGAAACAAAGTTCCAGAGGAAATAGTGGAAACCTTTCAGGAGTTGGAAAGGGAAAGAGGTCATTACAGGAGACACACAAAACTGTGAACCTAAGAATGCAAGAGATGAAGACTCACATCGGTCTACTGACTGACATAGACCATAATAAAATGCACAGTGAGACAGCATTCAGCAGAGACAGTGAGACCAGAGTACTGGGCTACATGGTGGGAAATGGATACTCCTGGGCCTCTCGTTCCACTCTGTGGAGAGAGTAGAAGACACATGGACGTGTTCTCCCTCCCACCCAGGGCTTCCCCGTCTCAGTGAATGGGTGGTGCCCCATGGAAGGGGTATCCCAGGCCACCCTCCTCATCCCTGGGGGAAGGGACGCTGTGGCTGAGCTGAAGGCCACCTTCCCTACACAGACCTCGCACGAGGGAGGGCTAGGGCACACCGGCCCGCGGAACACCAAAAGGAGGGACGTGAGGATGCGTTATTCCCTCTGTTTGCAAACCTAACACAGAGAGTAGAAGTGTTCGCTCATGATCAAACAATTTAAAAAATCTAGGAAGAAGGCTACGTTAATAATATGATCGGAAGGTAGTTAAAGATGTCAGTCGAAAAATCTCCCTGGAAGAGAAAAACATCTTAAACTTCAAATTGAGGAGGAAAATTAAACCTTCTGCAGATTATTGTCAGATAATGTGAAATAATTTGCCATTAATTAATATTTGGTTACCATTTAAACATTTTAGCATTTGTATAACTATTATTTATTATTATTATTATTATTATTATTTTTGAGACGGAGTCTCGCTCTTCGCCCAGACTGGAGTGCAGTGGCGCGATCTCAGCTCACTGCAAGCGCCGCCTCCCGGGTTCACGCCATTCTCCTGCCTCAGCCTCGGCTAATTTTTTGTATTTTTTTAGTAGAGACGGGGTTTCACCGTGGTCTCGATCTCCTGACCTCGTGATCCGCCCGACTCGGCCTCCCAAAGTGCTGGGATTACAGGCATGAGCCATCGCGCCCAGCCATAACAATTATTAGAAGACAGTGATACAAAGAGGGCAGCAAGGTTAGCCTTCAATGACTTTTAAAACTTCTGTTGGAAAGGTACAGAATATACTTTAAAAATAAGTTAAATATTATCATCATTTCATCATTATTATAATGTATTTAAATGGAAAAGCTGAATTCAAACCAGCAATATCAAATATGACCTTAAATATTTACCATACCACTGTGAGGCCAGTACAATTGTTCCACGTATGGGAACCATAACAAGCAGCTAAAAGAGAGAGAGAAGTGTTGTTTGAGGTCTTTTTTTTTTTTGAGACGGAGTCTCGCACTGGGCTGGAGTACAGTGGTGCGATCTCAGCTCACTGCAACCTCTGCCTCCAGGGTTCAAGCAATTCTCCTGTCTCAGCCTCCCGAATAGCTGGGATTACAGGCTCCTGCCACCACACCCAGCTAATTTTTGTTTTTTGTTTTTTTTTTTTAAAGTAGAGACAGAGTTTTACCTATTGGCCAGGCTGGTCTCGAACTCCTGAGCTTGTGATCCACCCACCTCAGCCTCCCAAAGTGCTGGGATTACAGGCATGAGTCACTGCGCCTAGCCTTAAGGTCTTAAAACTAATAAATATCTACGTTAAAGAACGAGTTGAATGAAAATTCTGATAAATTCCTAAAGGGTATCCAAAGAAAAGGAAAAAGTCTAGCAGTCAGTGATATTAGATTCAGAGGAATGAGCTTTGTAATTCTTAAAAATCAGTCCCAGAATAAAAAGGACTTTAAAAGTAATTGAGTAAAGTCATAGGAAATGTGACTGTATAAAGGAATGGCTCTAAATGTATTAATCTAGAAGGAAGCAACAGGTTAAACAGTAAGAGGTAAGAAACAAAAAATAAGGAACAAGAGAGAGACAGAGAGAGAGAGTGACAGGGAATGAGAGATAGAGGGGGGAAGGAGAGAATGAGAAGAAAAATCAGGAAAAGGAGGAGAAACAGAAGTATGGATGTGATACTGGAATAGTATCAGACCATTCTGAATCAGTTTAAGAACTACCATGTCTAATTCTTATATGGAAGACTTGGAATACAAGGATGTTGAAAGGAATAACAAATTATAATGAAGGTATAGAAATCCTTATGTAATCCAAGGTCATTAATTTGAAGGAAGACTCATCAAGAAAATGTGATCTAGAAATAGAGGTTGAGATTGCTGCATTTATAAAATTGTTATGCTGCATAATCTTCCCATATGCAAATATTGCATATTCCCTCTTTTGTCCCATGGAAATATTTCACAGCAACAAGGAATCAAGTGCTGACCTAAGTGGGGGTATCTGTTAAAACTTAGTATATTGATATCCTTCGCCCACTCCAGGAACGCTGGCTAGGCTGGGACTGCATCTTGGGAACAGAATTTTAGAGATGATCATCTCTTACATCAGAAGCAGGATCTACATGATCCCTGGATGCCCAATTTCCCGACTCTGCTACTGTCATGGGTGGCAAGATAAGAGGAGTTGCATCGCAGATGAAAAAGTAAGGCCGAAGACGACCAGAGAAGAGTTGGTTGAATGTGTAGATATAAGATCCATTGGTGACGTTGTAGAATGAGATTTCACCGGCTTCATAGTCCAAGAATATCCCAATGCAGCGAGGACTTTCCAGTAGGAGAAGAGGCACCGACGAGGAGGCAAGGACCATGTACTCATTCCCTTTCAGCAGCCACAGGGCCCAGACCCCGTTCTCAGGAGACGGTGTGGTTTCCCCCTTTCTCGGCAGTGTGTCTTGACAGACCCCTAAACCCCACTCTGCTCTTTCTTCCACCAGAACCTCCCAGTAATGCCTCCCAGATGAGAAGCTCTGCAAACCCAGGATGCAGGGCCACGTGTCAAATCGCTCAGGGTTGTTGGGGACATCCCTCCACAGTTCTCCATCCTGCACACTGCGCAGGTCGGCGGTCAAGAGCAGACTCGGGTGCGCCGTGGCGGGATCCAGCTTTACATCCACTGCGGAAGGAACGTGGTGGAGCAGGTGAAAGGAAAGAAAGGTAGAAACTCAGGAAACCACTGAAATGAATAGTCCCAGAGCTCCTCACTTCTCTCTCTAACAACGCCTAGAGAAAACAAATCAGTATTTCGCCTTACAGGTGAAATCTTCTTTATTACTTTATTATTCTTTATTACTTTCTGGTGTATTCCACTGTTACCTCTGCATAATCCAGAACTCTTTAACTTCCTCAATAAAAACAACTGTTGATGATGACAAACCAAGTAAATAATCATTTAGTTTCCTTTCATTTACATGTAAAGCGTGTGTGTGTGTGTGTGTGTGTGTGTGAGAGAGAGAAAGAGAGAGAGAGAAAGAAAGAGAGAGAGAGACAGGGTCTTGCTATGTTGCCCCGGCTGGAGTGCAGAGCTATTCATGGGCATAGCCATGGTCCACTACAGCCTCAAACTCCTGGACTCGAGTGATCCTCCTGTGTCTGCCTCCCCAGCAGCTGGGACTACAGGTGCACACCACCATGTCTGGCTTACATCCAAAGCATTTGGGTGCACTTAGGAGGATCTTCTGCATTTAACATAAAATTTACAAACCTCTTAGGAATTCTTTTCTTAAAAATTTATAGGAGAATTTTATTAATATTAAGCCCACTACTTTCAAAGTTATATTACTGTGGTAGGCAGAATTCTAAGATGAACCCCATGACCTTCACACCCTGGTGTTAGTCTCGTGAATATGTTATACTATATGACCAGAGAGAGATTATCAAGGTGAGTCTAATCTAATCCCACAAGTCCTGTAAAATCAGAAAGTTTTCTCTGGCTATTGGGTTGGTGGCAGCAGGAAAGGTCAGTAAGACGTGGATTTGATATCTCTTTGCTGGCTTTGAAGATGGAAAGGTCATAAGAGGAGAAAAACGAGTGATCTCCAGAGCTGAGAATGGCCCCCAACCAACAGCCAGCAAGAAAACAGGAATCTCAGTACTGCATTTGCATGGAATTGTATTATGCCAACAACCTGAATAAGCTTAGAGGGAAGGTTCTTCCCCAGACCTACAGAGCAGCCTAGCCTGGCCAACACCCACATTTGGGCCTTGAGAAAACCTAAGCAGAGGAGCCAGCTGATCCCACCCGGATGTCTGATCTTCAGAACTGTGAGCTACTAAATGGTATGGCTTTAGGCAGCTAAGCTTGTAGTTATTCATTATGTAACAATAAAAAATATTGATACTCTGAAGTCCCAGTGAGATTGATGAGACATTTGACCCATACACATAATAAATAAATACATCTAGATATGAAACCTCAGTGAAGGGGGGATGTAAAATATTCAGTGGATTTCCTTATTAGCATTGCTGATAAATAGTAAGTTAATTAATAACATGGTGTGGGTGTGTCTCCCCTCCCAGTCTCACGTTTAAACGTGATTCCCAGTGTTGAAGGTGGGGCCCACGGGAAGTGCTGGATCGTGGGCGCTGATCCCCCATGAATGTCTTAATGCCATCCCACTGGTGACAAGTGAGTTCTTTATCAGTTCATGCAAGAGCTGGTTGTTTAACAGGAACCTGGCACTTGCCCACTTCACTGCTTCCCTCTTGCCATGTGATACGCTGGCTCCCCCTTTGCTTTCCACATTGACTGTAGGTTTCCTGAGGCTTCGCCAGAAGCAGGTGCCAGCACCATGCTTCCTATACAGTCTGCAGAACCGTGAGCCAAAACAAACCACATTTCCTTATATTAATAAATTACCCAGCCTCAGGTATTTCTTTATAGCAATGCAAAATCAGACTAACATGTTAATATAGTTTGATTTTTAATATCAGAATACTGCTTCTACTGCTACTACTATTACTACTACTGCACTACTCTTCCTATTACTGCTACTACTACCACCACTACTGCCACTACCACTATACTTACCTGCCTTTAAACACTTCTAGTGAACTTTTTTTTTTACTTGAGACAGAGCCTTGCTCTGTTGCCCAGTCTGGAGTGCAGTGGTACAATCACAGCTCGCTGCAGCCTCCACCTCTCAGACTCAAGCCGTCCCCCCACCTCAGCCTTCTGAGTAGCTGGGAAGGCGTACACCACCATGCCCAGCCAGTTTTCTGTAATTTTTGTAGAGATGGAGTTTTACTATGTTGCCCAGGCTGGTCTTGAACTCCTGGGTTCAAGCGATCCATCAGCCTCAACCTCCCAAAATGTTGGGATTACAGGTGTGAGCCACCATGCCCAGCCTAGTGAATTTTAAAAAATTTTTTAATTTAATTTAATTTTTGAGATAAGAGTTTCACTCTTGTTGCCCAGGCTAGAGTGCACTGGCACGATCTTGGCTGACTGCAACCTCCGCCTCCTGGGTTCAAGTGATTCTCCTGCCTTAGCCTCCCAAGTAGCTGGGATTACAGGCATGCACCACCACACCTGGATAATTTTGTATTTTTAGTAGAGATGGGGTTTCTCCATGTTGGTTAGGCTGGTCTTGAACTCCTGACCTCAGGTGATCCACCTGCCTCGGCCTCCCCAAAGTGTTAGGATTACAGGTGTGAGCCACAGCGCCCAGCCTAGTGAACTGTTATTGATACCCAACCTGAGTGGTCACATAACTGCATATTGCATTATTTTTATTAATTCTCATATAACCACCCTGAGGGTCACCATTGTCATCCCTACATTACACAAGAGTACATTCCGAGTCAAAGAGTTCATGTGGTCTTCCCAAACTCTAGAGGTAAGTAACAGAGATGGAAAGGTAGGTCTCCACGGATTGTGCATTTAACAGAAGTCATGTATTCCCATGTCATGCCTGCTCCAGCACATTTGTCTGCTTCATTTCTAACAAAAGAGATCTGTGAAATGGCTTTTGACATGGTCTACACCCCATTCCTCTCCCTACCCCTTCTCTCCTGAACTCAATTCTTCATCATGATGTGACCACACCCCAACCAAACTGCTCATGTCCATCTTCCCAGGGACCTGCGTGTTGATGAATGGCTATTTGTCAGAGTTTGTTTTTTTATTTAGATGGAGTTTTGCTCTTGTTACTCAGGCTGGAGTTCAATGGTATGATCTCGGCTCACTGCAGTCTCCGCCTCCTGGGTTCAAGCAATTCTCCTGCCTCAGCCTCCCGAGTAGCTGGGATTATAGGCATCCACCACTATGTCCAGCTAATTTTGTATTTTTAGTAGAGACGGAGTTTCTCCATGCTGACTAGGCTGGTCTCAAACTCCTGACCTCAGGTGATCCGCCCACCTCGGCCTCCCAAAGTGCAGGGATTACAGATGTGACCCACCACACCTGGCCCAGAGTTCGTCTTCAATGATTCTTCTGTATCTCTCAACACTACTGAGAATCCACTTGTGCTGGAAAATCTCCCTTTTCCACAGACAGCACTCATCCATGTTTCCCTTCTCTCGCTGCTCACTACTCCTTCATCCTCTTTGCTGTTCTCTTCTCCTCCACCACCACCACTGGAGAGACCTATGATCCCAAGACTTGGACTTCTTCTCTCTCTCTCACCTCACTCCCTATCTACCCGGGGGTTGACTGGCTCATTGCTTTGATAAAATTCCAATCACATGCTGACCGATTCCCAATGCATGTGCTTAGCTTTGAACTTTACCCTGAAAATCCCTATTGTACACTCATCTGCCCACCTGAGAGCAACATTTGGATATTTAGCACTCATCGCAACATCCACATGTCCAAAACCCAACCCCTTCTTCCGCTTCAACTGTAGCTTTCCTCTTCAATAGAAGTGGCAATCACATTTTGCCAGTTTGCAAGCTCCAAAACCTTGGAATCATTCATAGCTCTTCTTTTTAATAGCACATCATATGTAATCCAATAGCAAATCTTAACAGCTCTGCCTTCAGTGTATAACAAAAATATGTCCATCTTGCGGCACCTTCCGTAATAACATCTGTTCCAACACAGAATCATCTCTCATCAAATTACTGCAAAGACCCTTAACTGCTTTTCCCATGTAATCTTCCCCTCTCCATAATTTACTTACAAGAAACCATACAAAGTGATCCTCATAAAACATTAGTCCAATCAAACTATTTTTCTAGGTACAACTTTCAATGACGTCCTGTTTCACTCAGGGATAAAGTATCCTGCTCAGAGCCTATCCAGCCCTTCCGTGGTCTCTCTGACCCTCCTGTCATTTAGTCTGCCACAGTCTCCTCACACTGACATCCTCACAGCTCCTGGAACACACCTGCCATCCTCCATGTCAGGCCTCAGCACTCATTTCTGCTGTCTGAGTGCTTTCTCCCAAATCATATATGTGCTGCATTATCCCCACGGGGCGAGGTCCTTCCTGGTCACCTTATTCAAAACCAGAACTTCTCATTACCCTTTTCATACTCCTTTTTATTTTATTCAATATTCTGTATCAGCCTCTTACAGCCTGTGTATTTTGGCTAAGTACGTATCTGCAACACAAAGCTATGGATTGTAGCATATTTTGCTGTTGTTGTTGTTTAATGATATATTCCAATGTTTAAAAGAATGGATGAGATAGAATTAATAAAACATTTTGAATTGTTTCATTCAATAAAAATAAATATGGATATGAGGTTACTGAGTCTAAGGGTGCCATGATGATTTTAATCGAGTCGGGCATTTAGTATACATTCATCTACCCAGGAGAATGTGGGTACTATGCTACGGAGATGGATTTTCTCATTAAGGGACTTTACACTCTTTCCCTGTAAGTAGTGAAGCCACTATTTAGACATAGTCAGTTTTCATTACTTGGGCTAAATTAGATTTTAAAATGAAATTTTAAACAATACTGAATCTATACTGTTTTAAAGAATAATATAATCAGATTGAACAGACTAATTTTTTGTGACACTGCTTATTCCTACATAAAAATAATTGACAATATTTTTGGCTTTATTGACTCACTAATTCAAGCAACTCATCAAATTCTCAGCCAATACATTAAACCAAACTTCTTGTTAATTAATAACTTTGCAATGCTTTCATATTGATAACTTTTAGGAGGTGGGGTGCTTTCAAACGTTTCATTTTGTCCTCCAAACATTTTTAGCATTTTATAAACAAGGAAATGTAAATCTACTGGAACTAACGTTACTCATATCACAGCTAATAAGAGATGAACTACAATTTTGAGCCCACTGTTCTAACCAAATGTAGATTCTATGGGTGGCTGTGATTCTGATACTGCTCATGAATACACCAATCCTCATTTTTCTGGGCATACACTCTCCCACTGAAGGAGACCAGAGAATTCTACCCTAAAATATGGCACCCCGGTATGCCCATTATTTTAAATTAAAGGCCCTTGGAGACGAGCACACACTGGAAGAAGCTTTATTCTAACACTCATTTATCTGCCTAAAGTCCCTGTGTTTTAATTAATTTAGTTCATACTGCAGGAAGACAGACAAGTCTGTCAACACACCTGGACGGACTTCAGTCACAAACCACTGTCTCTTTTTCAACAGACTTTGTCCCAAGCCACTGTATGTACTCCAAGTCCAATGAATCCACCAAAAAATCATTTACTATCCCTCTAAAATCATCCACGCCTCCCCATCTCCCTTTCCTCCAACAAAGAAGGGTATATAAGCATCCGCATCCCATTGAGTTACTGGGTAATTATTCTCCTGCGATTCTGCTGTGCTTTGAATGTTAAACTTTTTCTATGCCTTTGTTCCTGTTTGTCTTTGGTCAATTAATTTTCAGCAAACATTCATAGTGAAAGGGGAAAGTTTTCCCCTGCCCCCTACACTGTCTCCTTGATAGTTTGGCTTAGCCATGAAATCTCAGGAAGGTCACATGCCCCAATTCAGCATGGATGCCTTTAAGAGGAGTGCATGAGTCACCGTGCCTATGATATTGTGAAGTGTGTATTTGGTCTACAGTGCATGAGTCCCCATGCCTATGATACTGTGAAGTGTGTATTTGGTCTACGGTGCAGGATTCACCATGCCTATGATACTGTGAAGTGTGTATTTGGTCTACGGTGCATGAGTCCCCATGCCTATGATACTGTGAAGTGTGTATTTGGTCTACGGTGCAGGATTCACCATGCCTATGATACTGTGAAGTGTGTATTTGGTCTACGGTGCAGGATTCACCATGCCTATGATACTGTGAAGTGTGTACTTGGTCTACGGTGCAGGATTCACCATACCTATGATACTGGGAAGTATCTATTTGGTCTACAGTCACCATGCCTATGATACTGTGAAGTATGTATTTGGTCCACAGTCACCATGCCTATGATACTGTGAAGTGTGTATTTGGTCTACAGTGCATGAGTCCCCGAGCCTATGATACTGTGAAGTGTGTATTTGGTCTATGGTGCAGGATTCACCATACCTATGATACTGGGAAATATCTATTTGGTCTGCAGTCACCATGCCTATGATAGTGTGAAGTATGCATTTTGTCTACATCCTGTTTACTGACATATAGTTCTAAAAATCCTTGGAATTTCCAGAAAGACAACAGTGTCTTTTGCATGCTACTAAGATGACTTATGGTTTGTGATCCCCCAGAAAGCCTCCCATGGGTGTGGGTTGCCAGGGGAACCAACCATGTGATTAGAGGCTTGAAACTTTCAGTGCCATGCTCCCACCTACCTCTGAAGAGAGACGGGCTGAAGGGTGGGTTGATAAACCAATGGCCTATGATTTAATCAATCACGTCTACAAAGTGCTTCCATAAAAACCTAAAAGAACTGAGTTCATTGGCCGGGCACGGTGGCCCACGCCTGTAATCCCAGCCCTCTGGGAGGCCAAGGCAGGCAGATCATTTGAGGTCGAGTTTGAGACCAGCCTGGCCAACATGATAAGGCCCCGTTTCTACTAAAAATATAAAAATTAGCCGGGTGTGGCGGCAGGTGCCTGTAATCCCAGCTACTCAGGAGGCTGAGATAGGAGAATCGCTTGAACATGGGAGGCGGAGGTTGCAGTGAGCCAAGATGGTGCCACTACACTCCAGCCTGGGGACAGGGTAAGGCTTCATCACAAAAAAAAAAAAAAAAGAAAAAAGAAAAAAAGAAAAGAAAAGAAAGAACTGAGTCCTGAGGACTTCCAGATCACTGAACACGTGGAGGTTCCCAAGGTAGCATGCCTAGAGAAGGTGTGGAAGCTCCGTACCCCTTCTCACAAACCTCACCCTGGGAATCTCTTCCATCTGTTTATCTCTAGCCTCTGTAATGCCCATTATAATAAATGAGTAAATACGTGTCCCTGAGTTCTGTGAGCTCTTTCAGGAAATCAAGTGAACTGAAGAAGGGGTTGTGGGAACCCCAATTTACAGTCAGTTGGTCAGAATCACAGGCCACAACCTGTGCTTGTGGCTGGCACGTGAAGTGGGGTCAGTCTTGTGGGACTAGGCCCTCAACCTGGGGGACCTGGTGCTATCTCCAGGTAGACAGTGTCAAAATCAAATTGCATGGAAGGACATCTGGCTGGAGTATGTGCTGGAGAACAGATTGGCTGTTTGCGGGGAGAAATCCCCACACATTTTGGTGACCAGAAGTGAGGTGTTGTATTGACTCTGTAAGACAACTTCTTCCCCCATCTCTTCAATAACCTTGCCCGTTTCTATGGCTCCCAGCACCACGAGGGAGGTGGAGCTCTGTCAGCACGGGTCTCGGAGTGAGACGATGTGGCACAGAAGTCCCCACACCCAGGAACAAAGCAACGGCAACACCCTCAAAACAAACTTCTGCTGATCTGGGCCGCTAAGACCTCAGGTGCTGTTGCTCACTGCAGCTGACTGGCACAGTGATAAACTGCAACACGAGGCAAACCCCAGGCAGCCTACTTCCCAGTCTCTAAGATGCAAACTACCTTGGAACTTCCTCAACAGTTCCCTCCTCCCAGGGATGCGGCACGCTGTCTTCAGTTCCATGGGGATGCTCTCCGCTTCCAGCCTTGTGACAGCCTTACTTCTGGGAAGAGCACAGAAACCACAGAGGTCAGCAGGGCTCTCCACCAGCCACTCTGCCTCTCCCAATCCCTTCACCAACTAGAAAGCACGCAGACCTGCTCAGGACTCCTCTCACACCCTGAAAAGGAAAGAAAAATACAATGTGAGCTGGACTCTGAACTGCTTTTCCCAGTCAGACTGAGGACACCACGAACATTTCCTTAAATTACTGGAAAACATTATTAAGACAAAATTATAGGGGACAGTAAATCTTTTTTTTTTTTTTTGAGATGGAGTTTCGCTCTTGTTACCCAGGCTGCTGGAGTGCAATGGCGCGATCTCAGCTCACTGCAACCTCCACCTCCCTGCCTCAGCCTCCCAAGTAGCTGGGACTACAGGCACCCGCCACCATGCCTGGCTAATTTTTTTTTTTTTTTTTTTTTTTTTTTTTTTGTATTTTTAGTAGGGACGGGGTTTCACCATGTTGGCCAGGTTGGTCTCGAACTCCTGACCAGAGGTGATCCGCCCACCTTGGCCTCCCAAAGTGCTGGGATTACAGGCGTGAGTCACTGCACCCAGCCAAATCTCTTTTCTTTAAAGCTATACAAATTTTAGGTTAATTCCTGCAACATCTATCAATTTAATTATCTTCTGAATTAATAATTCTGCCACTTGGATATTGTAACAGAGTAACATTCTGCAGGTAATTCGGATGGAGCAGGATAAAATAGATCCTAAGTACTCATAGAATTTGAGGGGCAGGGATGGGTTCCTTAAATAAAGACACAAAATGTTTCCCTAAATGTCTTCATAGGAATTATAAATTCCTAATTCTCTGAACCAACGTACCAGAGCTATTCCTATGAGTAGGTTATCTAAGTAGATTAATAAAGGAAGCCTTTAATAACTACTAACATTACTTTCTCAAAGTAGATTATTAAATAAATATATCTGTGATACATTTATTATATTAATAATTGTATTTGGGATACATTTCCCCTCTCCCCTTAAAAACAGTCACCAGTCAGATAAGTTTTGATGGCATAAAAGAGGGAAATAATTTGCTTTACCCTGTATGGGAATGTCAGGCCTCGGTCTTGGCCTTCGGGGATAAAATGTAGCTTATTAGTACCAGGGAAGAAAAGAAAGTATAAAAATATACAGCCTGGGCAACACAATGAAGTCTCATCTCTACTAAAAATTTTTTAAAAATTAGCTGGGCATGGTGGTGCACACCTTTAGTCCCCGCTACTTGGGAGGCTGAGGCATAAGAATTGCCTGATTCCAGAAGACTGAGGCTGCAGTGAGCTATGATTGAGCCACTGCACTCCAGCGTGAGTGACAGAGTGAGATCCCGCCCTTATGAAACAGTAGATAGATAAGATACCTTATTTAAGAATATACCCTCCCATGCCGGGCAGGGTGGCTCATGCCTACAATCCCAGCACTTTGGGAGGCCAAGGTGGGCAGAGCAATACTGTTGTTGAAATTGTCAAGCCGGGCACAGGGGCTCACGCCTCTAATCCCAGCACTTTGGGAGGCCGAGGTGGGCGGATCACCTAAGGTTAGGAGTTCAAGACCAGCCTGGCCAACATGGCGAAACCCCATCTCTACTAAAAATGCAAAAAAAAAAAAAAAATTAGCCAGGTGCTGTGGCACTCGCCTTTAATCCCAGCTACTCAGGAGGCTGAGGCAGGAGAATCGCTTGAGCCAAGGAGGCAGAGGTTGCAGTGAGCCAAGATCACACCACTGCATACTGCATTCCAGCCTGGGCAACAGAGCGAGACTCCGTCTCAAAAAAAAAAGAAAAGAAAATAAAAGAAACTGTCAAAGTTCTTGTGTTTTGCTGTCTGCTATTTCGAAAATTCCTTCTTACTCTTAGTTTGCTAACAAGGAAATGAGCACAGCAATAATAATAAAATATAAATTTAACATATATAAGATAAAATGAGACAAACGGTTTTACAAATTCATTTCATGGTCCTCTGCCTCGTAATCAGTACTGTTTAGTAACTGTACTTGCAAATATTATACAGAGTTAATATGATTATTAATATTCATGGCAATTTCAGTGTCTAGAACTGAGTCAGAAAAGGTAGAATCTGTGGGTCAGCTGTTAAATGAGAACATGAATCACTTAGTTTAGAATCCCCTGAATGAGTCACTGGGGAGGAGATAGAAGTTGGCCCAGATAAATTTCTGTTGCCATTGGTTCTATCCAGAAAACAGGGATCCATCAACAGCTCTGGCTTTCCCTGTTCACTTGGGATATGATGTCTTCACAGAGGATTAAAAACAAAGATTCCCTTTCAATGTTATTCATCTTTCTGTTCTGTAATCCCAAATAGACTGGGAGGAAGCTGCACGGGAGTCCACGTAATCCCTCCTCACCATGCCTGGAATGGGCACGCAATGTGGGCCAGGAAATCAATGTTTGCTTTACAATCCAATATAACAATTTCAAGCTGGACAATTTAAATCATTATTCATCCTTCTGGCCGGTGAGACTAAAATGTGTTATGCAGACTTTCTGGGTTAGCCATCCCTGAAAAACAGCAATGCCATCATGGACAAACCGCAAACTGACTCTGAGGTTTTAGGAATTACTTCTCAGCCAGCAGAGTGTAGCCTGTCCTTTTCCTAGCTGTTTAATTTTTCAGAAATCATTAATTTTAATTTTAAAAATTCTTTAGTCCTTAAAACGAACTATATGCTGTTTGTCTGTCTGTTTTTTGAGACAGGGTCTTGCTATGTTGCCCAGGCTGGTCTCAATTTCCTTGGCCCAAGCAATCCTCCTATCTCAGCCTCCCTAATAACTGGGACTACAGGCAAGTGCCACCATGCCAGACTCAAACTATATGATTCTCTAGAATCTCATGATTCTGATGCCAGGAATGGCATCTGAGTAAATTCTAGGGTGTTTAAGCTGCCTTCTGAGTAAATTCGAGGGTGCCCTTTTCCGAAAGAACATAAACGCCAAAGTGTTTGTCTCTGAAAGCCACTGTACTAGTCCCTGTCACCTCAGTCTCACACCTGCCTGCCTTTCTGGCACCCGGTCTCACCTCCAGCAGACCCAGGGCCTGGCGCTGGCACCTCTCCTGCAGCTCATCTGCCAGCTCCTTCAGGGCCTTGCTCTGCTGGACCAGCCGGCTCTTGCTCTCCCGCAGTCTCTGCAGCGTCGCTCGCTCCTCCGCCTCCAGCCGCCTTAGCTGCAGTTGCTCCTCCTGGGCCAGAAAGCCACGATGCTTCTCAAACTCCAACCTGAAGCGCTGCCTCTGCATTTCCACTTTCTCCTGAGGTGACACAGTGGATCACATCATCAGCGCTCGGCCTCCTGCAGCCAAGTACAGGACAGTGCTGGAGAAGGCAATGTCCAGACTTCCCTGGGATCCATAACTCTGTGGACTGACTGGCTGCATTCTAACAACATGCACAGACTGGGGTCCATTCGTATAAGAAGTAGCCCAGGAGAGTTTTCAAACTAAGTTTAAAAAACACTGTTGGACTGGAGTTCCCATTTTGCCACAGGCTTGGGGGCAAGGCATTTTTATATTGAAGTTTCAGTACCATATACAAAATGTGAGGTTCTGGGGAGGTTGAGGCAAGAGGATTGCTTGAGGTCAGGAGTTCAAGACCAGCCCGGGTAACAAAGGCAAAACGTGACCCCATTTCTAAAAACATTAAATGAACTGACCGGGCATGGTGGTAAGCCCTGTAGTCCCAGCTACCCATAAGGCTGAGGTGGGAGGATTACTTGAGTCTAAGAGCTCGAGGCTGCAGTAAGCTGTGATTGCACCACTGCACTTCAGCAAGACTCCATCTCTTAAAAATGTGGGGAAAAAGAAGAGTATGTGGATTACGGCTAAATATCTATTAAACTACAAGAACAGTGATCGGCATAGAGCAGTCACACAACAGGTTACTATTTACTAGTCGATTAGTCACTAGAACCACTAGAAACAACCAAATTATGATGAAATGTTAGAGACCTAGAATTGTTTGAATAAGAACAGGCTGAGAGATGAGAAAATATGCACGCTGTTTCACAATACGGTAATAGTGAACACAACCAACAACCATAGGTCTAACGTTCTCTACAAAGCCAAGAAACAACTAAGTAATGCTCAGGCCACTGAGTTCAGAGTTCACGTCAGGGAATTAACCCCGATTTCTACCCAAATCTCGTGTCTCCAGTTTCTGAATAGACCAAAGGAACATACTTCATCCCAGGCTTAGTTTCTAGATTTTCTTCTCTCGAGATAAGTATATTGGAAACTAACTTTAAGCTGAGAAGGAGAGGCAAATCACACCCTCAAAGTATCTGTACCTCCCATTCTCTGTCCTGTTTTATCGATTTGTTTTCTTTTTTGTAGATATTCATGAGGTACAAATGGAGTTTTGTTACACTGTTACACTGCTTTGTAGGTGAAGTCATTTGCCTGGGTTTTTTTAATCTTTCTTTTGAGACAGAGTCTTGCTCTGTCACCCAGGCTGGAGTGCAGTGGCACAATCTTAGCTCACTACAATCTCCTCCTTCTGGGTTCAAGTGATTCTCCTGTCTCAGCCTCCCAAGTAACTGGGATTACAGGCACACACCACCATGCCCAGCTAATTTTTGTATTTTCAGTAGAGACAGCGTTTCACCATGTTGGTCAGGCTGGTCTCAAACTCCTGACCTCATGATTGGCCCACCTCGGCCTCCCAAAGTGCTGGGATTACAGGCGTGAGCCACTGTGCCCAGCCTATCTGCCTGTTTTTAAACGTGGTAACTTCTTGTTTTGACTAAAAGGCATAAGCTATCACCTTTTTAAACTAAATCTCTCCTAAGACTTAACTCCTTCCTTCCATTTTCCAACTCTACCTCCTTCTACCATTTTCTAAATCACCAGATTCAGAAAACTTCATCTTCTTTCTGAAATCAGCCAAGTCTGAATTCCATACACTGATTCCTGAAAGGTGTAACTCATGTAAATATGAGAAGCTCTCTTCATATCAGAGGCTGTGCTGTCGTGGGGTGGGGCAAATAACCCAGCCACTAGAAAAGAGTTGAGTCATACCTGGGGCATGAAGGGGGGTGTGGTGGGAAGCGATTTGCCTGCAATTCATCTTCCTTTCACACCACCCTCTTGAGCACAACTATATCTGCAGATAGAGAAACAGGAAAGGTTGTTTTGTAGTGTTTAGAATAACTTGTGACCAAAAATGTGCTTGCTGCATTTGGCTCACATGGATACATTCTTGATGGTAAAGATCATGCAAGTTTACTTGGCTTAGAACAGGGATCTCAGTATCATCCCTACTTAAGAATAATCAGTAGAGGGTTTAAAACATGCAGGAACTCAGCTCTCCGATATGGGCATTCTGATTGTATAGATCTACGGTCAGGCTAGGATTGAAAACAATAGACTTATATTTCAGCCTGAAAAGAACAAAAATTATCCATCAATATTACAATATTAAATAATGTACATCCTATCACTATGTACATTATAGGCAAATAACGAACATTATTTAATATTGTAAAGCTTTGTTCTTGCTCTTTTTATCTCGATTGCCACTACCCAATCCAAACTATGCTTTACTAGCTTGCTCTTCCTGCAAAACCCACGGCTATATCCCTGTCATCTAGAGTTGCATCTTATACTGTCACTACTAGTTTAAAAATATTCATTAATAATATTGATGAACAAGTTTGTCAGTATCAACGTTAATAAGTTTAAATATTTCTTCACACATCTGAGTAACGTTAGGTACTAAAGTTATTAACATCAATATTATTTAATATTGATAACTTTTATCCTTTCCTATCACTATCTAAATTATTTACCTATAATGTACATTTTTCTTTTCTTTTTTCCTTTTTTTTTTTGAGACAGAGTTTCACTCTTGTTGCCCAGGCTGGAGTGCAATGTGCGCGATCTCAGCTCACCGCAACCTCTGCCTCCTGGGTTCAAGCAATTCTCCTGCCTCAGCCTCCTGAGTAGCTGGGATTATAGGCATGTGCCACCACGCCCGGCTCTTTTTTTTTTTTTTTTTTTTTTGGTATTTTTAGTAGCGATGGGGTTTCTCCATGTTGGTCAGGCTGGTCTTGAACTCCCGACCTCAGATGATCCACCTGCCTCAGCCTCCCAGTGTGCTGGGATTACAGTTGTGAGCCACCATGCCTGGCCTTAATGTACATCTTTCTTCTGGGATAAGTGTTATCTTTTCCTATCCCTATGTGTATATATATAGTAATCTAGTAATGTAGTAAATATAGAAAAATGTAGTTTAAAAAGTCTTTATGTAATATCTGTGTAAAGATAGAGTATAAGACTAAATTTTCAAAGAAAACAAGAAGGAAATAATTATAAATTATATATAGAGTCATCAGAAAAGAAGGGTTATTTGGAAAAGGAGAAAGAATAGGAATATTCTGTAGCGTATAACCTATTATATATCATATTACATAACATATTACATGAATATATAGAACTATACACACAGTTTCTATATATAGTTTCTCAATCTTGACACTATTGACATCTTGAACAGATCATTTTTTCTCATAGGATATGGGAACTGTCCTGTGGACTACAGGGTGTGAAGCTGCATTCCTGTCTCTACTAGATGACAGGTGCACTGTACCCACCCTTCCTCAGTTGTGACAACCAAAAATATCATCTCCAGAAATTGCAAAATGTATCTAGGGGGGTGTGGGTATCGCCTCAGGTTAAGAATCACTGTGTGTGTGTGTGTGTGAATCACTGTGTGTGTGTACGAATCACTGTGTGTGTGTGCGTATACACATGTTCACATGCATGTGCATGAATGAAACATGGAATAAAAAGAGCTAGTGAGGTATTAAAAAATGGAATATGTGTATGTACAGATGATCAAAAAAGGCTGAACGTTCGGATTATTTCCCTGTATATAAGATGATCACTTTGGGCTGTACTTCTTCTGTTACAAAGTTGTGAAATATTCATTATTTCATTCACCTAACAAACATTTTCAAACTAGTAGTGACAGTATAAGATGCTATTCTAGGCGACAGGGATACAGCAGTGGGTTTTACAGTAAGATCAAGCTAGCAAAGCTATTTAATTGTAATTTGGATTGGGTGACGGCAACAGAGACAAAAAGAACAAAAATGAACCATATCATTTGAGGGTACAGGGATGACCCAGGATGGCTCTGAGGTGTTCTTGGGCATATATGGAGATGGAAAAAAAGTGCTGGAGAATGGAAGATGGTGAAAGAAATACTGACCCGAATCTGGATCCTTCAAACAGGCAAGCCTCCTAAAGCCCCAACACGGTCTTACCTTCCAAATGACAGTCTTTTTCCCCACACTGGCCTCCTGAGTCAAGGCATCCTCCAGCTCTTTCCTCACAAGTTCCAGAGCCATCTGGAGCTTTACCTGTTTGGGAAGATATTTCAAAGCTGTTACAGATGCTCTCACTCAGTACCTAACATCACGCAGATGTGTGAGGAAATACAAAGATCAATTTAAACCATCTCTTGAAAGCACATAAAAAATGTTCAATATCATTAAAAACTAAACATAAATGTATTTAAGTTTTAGTGTCAGGGTCTCGCTGTGTCACTCAGGTTGTTGTTCAGTGATGCGATCATGGCTCACTGCAGCCTCAAACTCCTGGGCTCAAATGGTCCTCCTACCTCAGCTCCCAAGCAGCTAGTACTCCAGGCACACTCAGCTCATTTTGTTTTCTGTAGAGATGGGGTCTTACTATACTGCCCAGGCTGGTGTCAAACTGCTGGCCTCCAGAGAGTCTCCCATCTTGGCCTTCCAAAGTTCTGGGATTACAGGCGTAGCCATCATGCCTAGCTCCTTAAATGTATTTCAATACCAGATACAATCAAATAGTTATCTAAAAGTATGCTCACTGCATTGTTATATACAATAGTATAACTTAACTAAAACATTAAAGATAGGGGAGAAAAAATTTATATCAACTGGATAGAATTAAAATAGGATGTTACAGAATGTCTAACGACAAGAAATACAATGATAATGTCCAATAAATAAATATATTTTACAAAACAGCATTAATTTTGAAAAAAAATGTGCTGGTAATAAATATATTAAAACTGGGCTGATGTAAATGAGAATATTAGATGAAATGTCATCTATTGGTATTTGGATGAAGAGTGATGCTATTATCTCTCTCTATATTTCAACTTCTTGAAGTTATTGATTACTTTATGATAAAGCATGGGTTTATTATTGTAGTATTAGTATTATTAGGTCAGAAGGAACTTAGGAGGTTATCATATTTTATATGAAAAAATACAATATGTTGTAAACCTTACAATGAGTAAAAATACGAGAACTAAATCTTCCTTCAATAATAGGGCCCTCACTAAAGGTAAATATGTGTATTTTATTTACAGAAAATACCCACAAAGATACATACATAAACAGGATTTTAATTAAAAAATTCTATTCTCAAAGTTACTTAATAAATCCTACATATACATCAATTGTTTTTAAAAGGAGAATATTATAATTGTTATACATAAAATAACAGTAGAATTCATGATACCATTTGACCCAGTGGGGAAAGTGGCATTTGTTTTGGTGTTTACAAAGAATGAACACTTTGACACTTGTAGATAGAGAAAAGCTCCCTCAGGCCAAAGAAACTGTCAGCAAAAGCAAGGAGATGTGGCACAGTTAGGAAAACAGTGATTCGGCTAAATTTGCTGGGTTTCCTGGCTAGTTAAGACAAGAGCTATGAAAACATAACTTAGGGCCCTAGAAAGCTATCACTGACAGGCTCAGGAGTTTAGATAATATTTATTTGGTATTTAACTGAAGAACTACTGGAAATACAGAGAACACCTTTAGAAATATTACCCTAGAGGCTGGGCTGCCTGTAACACCAGCACTTTGGGAGGTCAAGGAGGGTGGATCACAAGGTCAGTAGTTCAAGACCAGCCTGGTCAACACGGTGAAACCCCGTCTCTACTAAAAATACAAAAATTAGCCGGGCGTGGTGCCGTGTACCTGTCTGTAATCAGGAGGTTGAGGCAGGAGAACTGTTTGAACCAGGACCCGGGAGGCAGAGGTTGCAATGAGCGGAGATCGCACCACTGCACTCCAGCCTGAGCTACAGAGCTAGAACCCGTCTCAAAAAAAAAAAGAAAGAAAAGGAAAACAGAGAAAAAGAAATATTACACTACCAATCCTCTGTATGGTACTTTCTGGACTTTTTTTTTTTTTTAAAAAAGGCAAGAACATAGCAGAAAAGTTTAACTAGAAATTACCTAGTACCTACATCTCGCCAATGACAATGAAAATCAAGAAGACATACCAAGAGAGATATTGGTAGGTCCAGAGGGAAGGGGAAAATATCCTAAACCTTAATTTAAAAAAACAAAATAAATAAATAAAAATTTTAAGAAAGCTAGTATTTGCAATGCACTACAGCATGACTGATAGTCCTTTGGTTAAATATGTCAGTAGATTAAAGACGACTTAGACCTCCTCTGTGCTGGCAGTTGTTCTACATGCTGGGATTAAAGTGTGTTCAGAAAACACCCAAGAACTTTTGAAGGGCACCAGTAGGAAGAATTCTACACGAAATTTCACAGATGCCACTTTGGGGGCCAAATACTTCCATTTTGTTTTTCTTCTTTCTCTTTTAAGCTTCCCGGCCTACACTCCAAATGAAGCACCTCTTCATTGAGGATGTTCGAATCCTAAGTCCCCAAATCCCTGCTGATGGAGAGCCACCCGCGGGCCACCCTCTCCTACTTCAGGAGGCACAGGCGCCTGAGCTTTGGAGGGATCGGAACCCGTGCCCAGCTGGACACTCTTCCTAACAACGCCCAAACCCGTGGGTTGCTTTGGTGACAATACCCATTTAACGTAAACACTGTGCAAAAGCAAAGCATTGCACAAATGAGAACTATTACGGCAAGTTTACGATATAGATGTACAGCAGTTACCAAGAATGAACTGGACCACAGCCCTCCCGACCAGAGCCCAGCTGAGGGATCAGACTATCTGCACCAGGAAAATCCAGCCCAGCGCGAGTTCGAGGACAGGAGAGTGCTTGAGGCAGGAGCGCACGGTGTAAAATAATGGTTGTGTGTCGCAAAGGGGGTTACCCCAGCCAAGGCAAGGAGACCCACACTGAGTGAGCCGCGTGGGCGGCGGGGACGGCGCGGGGAGCGGCCGTGGGAGCCGCTCAGGAGACGGGTGGCCTTGGCGGCTCCGCTCCGGACGGTCGCCCGCTTCCCGGTCCCGCAGCGCCCGCAGCCCCCGCCGGGGGGCGCCTCACCTGGTAGCGGCCGGCGGCCTCCCGCAGCGGCGCCGTGCGGTGCGTCCTGTGGTCCGGGCCGGCGTCGCACACCCAGCACAGCGCCGCCTGGTCCTCCTCGCAGAAGCGGCTCAGCTCCTCGCCGTGCCGCGCGCACCGCCGCGCCCCGGGCCCCGCGCCCAGCCCCAGCCGCCGCACGCTGTCCACCAGGCCCGCCAGCTGCCGGTTGGGGCGGAAGCCCGCGGGCCGGAAGGGGCCCCGGCACTGCGGACAGGCGTAGACGCCGCCCTGCGCGACATCCGACTTCTCGCAGAACTCGGAGATGCACCTGAGGCAGAAGCTGTGGCCGCAGTCCACGCTGACCGGCTCCTGCAGGAAATCCAGGCACACCGGGCACCGCGCCTCCTCGCGCAGCCGCTCCCCGGGCGGCCCCGAGGCCATGGCCGGCCTCCCCGGGTGGCTGCGCTCCCGGCCGCCCGCACCGTCTCCCCTCGCGGTCTGCACGGGGGAGGAGCCCACGCCGCGGGAAAGCAGGCGCCGGTGGGTGGTGTCCGCTGGCCTCAGTTCAAGAGCTCAGACGAGCCACACCCGGTGAAAAGCCACCACTCAGGCGCTCCCAACGTCGGGGGTCAAATTAACGTTATGGTTCCCCCCACCCCCGCCACACACACACCCAGGAAACTGGGCATTTCCAACTGGAATCCCTCGTCATCTCCTATTTTCACTGTCGGTAGATTTGGAGAATTGCTACATTCCCTCCTTCCTTCCATCTTTTTTTGGTTTGTTTTTGTTTTTGTTTTTTGAGAGGGAGTCTCGCTCTGTCGCCAGGCTGGAGTGCAATGGCAAGATCTCGGCTCACTACAGCCTCCGCCTCCCGGGTTCAAGCGATTCTCCAGCCTCAGCCTCCCGAGTAGCCGGGATTACAGGCGCCCGCCACCATGTCCGGCTAATTTTTGTATTTTTAGTAGAGACGGGATTTCACCATTTTGGTCAGGCTGGTCTTGAACTGGTGACCTCAGGTGATCTGCCCGCCTCGGCCTCCCAGAGTGCTGGAATTACAGGCGTGAGCCACCGCGCCCGGCCTCCATCATTATTATGTAGATTTTGTGCAGATTTCTGAGGTACCACTGCAGTTTTGTTACATGGATACACTGCATAAAGTCTAGGCGTTAGCGCAACTGTAATCGTGTACACTGTTCTCATTCGGTGATCTCTCATCCCTCGCCCGCCTTCCACCCTCTGAGCCCCTTCATTGTATACTGAGCTATCCATGGTCCTCTCATACCATAATCGTTTCTTAAAAACCTTTCCCTCTTTATATGGCATAATCACTTTTTAAGTGTTTTTTTCCAAACTTCATTTTTTTCTCTTGCACTAATTACCTCTAGATAAAGAAATGAGACACCACCTGACACGGGAAGATGCCTGCATAGGTGTGTATAACTATAGGTTTACAGCCCAGCCAAAAATAATTCTAAATATTTAAATAAATATCTGGCCTGGTTCAATGAGGGTCCTGTAAGGAATACACAAGTATTATAGGATTGTTGCAAAGCCAATCTTGGAGACGACAAAGCTATAGAGATGCTCATCAGAAGGAGTAATTCAAGCTTAGCCTCTCAGTGCTGTACCTGTCAGATGGGGGAGGCTGAGACAGGAGCAAAATGATTTGACAGAGTATGTTACTTCATCCAATGGGAGACTGAATCAGGATAAAGTACATTAAAGTCTCTAACGTCCTCCAGAAAGTAGACAAGTCTGGGGCAGTGTCTGCATCTGTGCAAAATAACTTTAGTGTGGTTGAGTTTGAAGTGATGGTGGGGTGTGCCTCTGGCAAATCAAACCGTCCCTCAGCACACATTGTGTCTGTTTGTTGCCAGGAGTCTCATACATTGCACCAGGTACTGAAAACACACATGTTAAGGAAAAGAGGTAGGACCTTGTTTCTCAAGGAGCCTTAAGATCAACTAGAAGAGGTGGATATGAAATCATGCAAACGTAATTACAAACCAATAACTGCAAGGAAGGTCGCTCACCAGTCCTGCAGGAATATAACAGAGGACTCTGAATGAGACTGCAGGGTGGGGGGCAGACACCTGAGGTCTCTGAGTTAACCTCTGATAGGTGAACACAAGCTGGCCAGCAGGAAGGGGGGCTCTGCAAGGCTGTGCCCCCCGAAGCCATGAAAAGTACAAGGTAAACAGCAGGTGGGAGCAAGACATACCCAGATGACACTGAGAAGCCAGGCAGGCTGGCAAGCTGGGCCAGAATATGGTGGCAGCAGATAAGGCTGCATCAAGAGGCGGGGCCAGATGACTCAGGTCCTTGGGGATCCTGTGGGGTTTGTGGGTCTTTATTAGAAGGACAATGTCTTGGGCTGGATCTCTGGTGACAGCCAGAGCAAAGGATTTTGAGGCCTCCTGCCTAAAGGTTAAGTGCATAATTAAAGTGAGTAGATTCTTGGAGAACACACATGGGTTTGTATTAGCAAAACATTAAAGATGTGACATTAGAGAAAAAAGCTAAAGAGCGGAAAGAAGACTTAGCAAAGAAAAACAGACTCTGGCTCCAAATTAAGGGCTGCGGCACTTGCTAAGAAGCTTGAGGCTAGCTGTGCCATGTTTCTTCCCTGCATTTCTTCTAACGTGCAGTGAAGAAGTGTCATTCTTACAAGGCCTTTCAGAGTATTAAATGAGCTAATAGACAGTAGATGCTTAATATAGGTCCCGGCATGTTGCAAATACACACATACACATGTATATATATTGAGACAGGGTCTTGCTCTGCTGCCCAGGCTATAGTGTAGTGCCACAACCTGACTCACTGCAGCCTCTACCTTTCAGGCTCAAGTGATCCTCTCACCTCAGCCTCCCAAGTACCTGGGACTACAGGTGCCCCCCACCACGCCCAGCTAATTTTTGTATTTTTTGTAGAGACAGGGTTTTGCCATGTTGCCCAGGCTGGTCTCAAACTCCTGGGTTCAAACAATCTGCCCACCTTGGCCTCCCAAAGTGCTGGGATTACAAGTGTGAGCCACCTCGCCTGGCCATGTAGCAAATATGTTTAATTGAAGAAAAGGAAATGAAATAACAAAGTGAATGGAAGGATGGTGAGTCAAAAGGTAAGCTACATTAGGAAGAGAGATTTTTTTCTATTTTGTTCACTGCTCTATGTATCCCTAGGACCTTGAAGAGTAACTGGCACAAGTGGACACTCCGCAAATGCTAATTGAATAAACAAGTTAATAAGTGAATGAACAGAATTAGCACAGTTTATCCTAGGAGCTAATGAAAGAGGGAAGTTCAAAGATGATTATATTATGTCAAATGTGAAATCCATGTTTTTCTGCATTTTACATATATGATCTTGCTCTAGCTCTCCATAACTCTGGCAGATGTTGGAGCATTTTTCTGTTTTGCAGGCATAACAGGACACAGTAAAACAATACATTTGCTCGAATGTGTGGGCCAATTGATAACCAAGCTCACTTAAATTCAGATTTCCTAGTGCCTATGATCCTAAGGGAAGGCCTCTGGCTTCTGATGTTGGGGGTCACTGTGGTTTTCAGGAGGGTGTGATGCAGTGGGCGAGCTCACTTCTTCCCCTGCTGGTTCTAGAGTTGCTGAGCTTAAACTGCTTTGTCTCTGACACTGGTTGACTAGGAATGACATCGATACCATTGTTCTTAGAAACACACATTTCCCTTATAGCACATCCATGCAGGTAAGTCGTGGATTGGATTATATCTAGGTGTCACTGTATTTACAAATGCTACGTGGAGTGCCTCGCCAGGCAGTTTCTGGTTTAATGGGAATAATCTAACTTAAATTTGTATTTTCTCATGAGCTTTCTTTTGGGGTAAAGTGTCTCTTTGTTTATGCCAATACGACCAAATTCCAATGCACCCCACTCCTTAATTTATAGGCTAACTTCACCCTCTGATTCATTTACAGGTTGCAGAGTTGCAAATCTTTTAGCTAATACCACCCGCAACCATCCTCCTTCTCTAATATTCCTCTCCCGTTGTGTCCTGCCTTCTGTGACGTCATTAAAATATGGGCTCTGCCATCATCTGAGCATTATTCCTCCCTGCTCTTTTTTGTGATTTATTTGGCCTCATGGCTTTGGGCTCCTGAAACCATTTCTTCAGGACAGCAATGTTTTCTTCCTTACTTTGAACCCTTTTCATGGAGTTTCTCAGATCTCCATGGCCAAACCCTTTACCTCAGCTTTGGGGATTCACAATCTCTTAGCTCCATAGCCCTCAAATCAGCCCAATTTGTTACCAAGACACCAGGAGTTCGGTCTAAGTCCTGCTGCTCTCCACACAGAAAGCCAATCACTGAGACCACGATTGTTGCCAGAGAAGAAACTTTTAATCAGGTGCTGCAGCAGAGGAGATAGGAGCTCAGTTTCAAATCCATCTCCCTGACTGACTAAAATTAGGGGCTTATGTAGCAGCAGGGAAGAAATATAACACTGTGTGGAAAAAGAGGAACTAGGGAGGGATAAGGAAGCAATCATGTTGAATAAGTGGACTGGACTGGCATCTCACTATCTGGTTGAGATGACCTGGGGTGATCTGATGAGTTTCAACTCTTTCTTACTTTTCGAGAGGGCTGGTGGTCCTTTCCTGAGGAAGGAACTCAGATAAAACAAAAGTAAGTTTCAAGCTCTAAGACCAGAAAGGTCAAATTCTCTCTATCTCTCTATCTATTTCTCTCTCTCTCTCTCTCTCTCTCTCTATATATATATATATATATATATATCTGTCTATAGGACTATTGGGTTGGCAAATTCAAATGCCAAAAATAAAAGCACAGCCCTCAAGACTAGCATCCGCTGACTCAGCATTTCCTTCCTTGTTTCTGGCCTTAAAAGGACCTCATTCAAGCAACAGAACCCTGCATTTTTTTCTCCTTTTTTTTTTTTTTTTTTAGACAGAGTCTCACTCTGTCACCCAGGCTGGAGTGCAATGGTACGACCTCAGCTCACTGCAACCTCTGCCTCCTGGGTTCAAGCGATTCTCCTGCCTCAGCCTCCTGAGTAGCTGGGATTACAGGCGCGTGCCACCACGCTTGGCTGATTTTATGTTTTTAGTAAAGACGGGGTTTCACCATGTTGGCCAGGCTAGTCTCAAACTCCTGACCTCTGGTGATCTGTCCGCCTCGGCCTCCCAAAGTGCTGGGATTACAGGTGTGAGCCACTCCGCCCAGCCTCTCCCATTTTCTTGAATTGCGGTAAAATACTCATAACAAAAAACGTTACTACTTTAACCATTTTTAAGTGTACAATGCAGTGGTACCTAATACACTCATAGTGTTGTACAGCCACCTCCAGAACCCTTGGCATCTTGTAAAGCTGAAACTCTAAGCCCATTAAACAATAACTTCCCACTTCCTCCTCCCTCCTCCATTCCCTGGCCATCACCATTCCGTCTGTGTCTGTGATTCTGACTACTCTAAGTACCTCGTGTAAGTATTTATCTTCCTGTGACTGAC